TGGGACTTGCACAGAGTGCTGGATGCCCTAACAGGTTCCCCCTTTGAACCGCTTCGTACAATATCCCTCAGGTTCCTGACACTCAAGGTGGCCTTCTTGATGGCCATTACCTCAGCCAGGCAGATATCTGAACTACAGGCATTGTCCAACAGGGAAGATCTACATGTGTTCCACCAGGACAGAGTGGTCTTTTGGGTAGACCCTTCCTTCATACCCAAGGTATGCAATTGTTTACATTGGTCACAAGAATTGATACTACCAAACTTCTGTCCGGACCCTTCTCACCCGCTACAGAGGAAATGGCACACTTTGGATGTGAGGAGGGCCCTGAGGATATACCTCAAGAGGACTCGACCGAGCAGGAAGTCAGAAGCCCTGTTCGTTTCGTTCCAGCCTGGGTCCTTGGGGAACAAGGTGACGGCTACCACCATAGGCAGATGGTTACGGACCTGCATTGCAACGGCCTACCAAGCACAGGGGCTGCAGACACCGGGGCCGATTACTGCACATTCCACACAAAGCGCGGGCACTTCAGCAGCCTGGACCACGCAAGCCACCTTGACGGAGATCTGCAGGGCAGCTACTTGGACTTCCCCCTCACCATTCATGAGGAACTATAAACTGGACTCCTTCGCCTCAGTGGAGGCATTATTTGGACGTAGGGTATTACAGACTGTTCACAGAGTGGGAAAAACAGCTCACCTAGCATAAGGTTATGAATTTACACCATGTGGGAACCCTCCCTAGTGACGTTGAACTTTGGTATGTCCCATCCTGGATACTCTTCCCCTCACTATGGAGAAAGGATGTTGGTACTTACCTGATACGCCTATTCTCATAGTGGGGGAGGAGTATCCAGCCCCTCCCTGATATTGTCTTGTTGTTGAGATAATTCGCAGTGGTGAACCGGTTCTGTTAAAGTTTAAATAAAGTTTTTGTTAGAATTACGACAAGATCTGAGTGGATGACACATTGAGTCTGATAGAGTTCTTTGTCAAAACTGGGAATACCTGGCAATAGGGGCATGTCTTAAAGAGCTTATGGGACTCAGTTCAACCAATGAGAGAATGAGGTCAACCCATCCTATCCTGGATACTCCTCCCACACTATGAGAATAGGCATATCAGGTAAGTATCAACACCCTATTTGTTTATTGGTCAATATCATTAACTTACTACATAAAGTATTCCATCTATTATGGCAAAGCTGCATCATACACCAAAGATTTGGTAATCCCAAGATTTAAAGTAGTTTGCACAATGGAAAAAAAAATCAGGATTGAAATATCTCCTGGTTTCTGGAATGACATGGTTTAGTTTAGTGAAAGAATGGAAAAAATCTTCACAGGTTGATAGGTAAATAAAATGGAGTGGGAAGAAGGGAACATGTACAATCATGTGAAAAAGTAAATACAACTTATTGACATTTTAAAACCTTTTTAGCATATTTCCACATAGATATATATTTGATCTTCATTTGGACAAAATTCTTAAAGGATATATAACAAATGCAATGTACCATTTACATTTTGAAATCCATTGTGTAATTTAAATAAACATACATGTAAATTTTGCATCTGGAAAAAATAAGTAGATTTATCACTATCTCAAATATTTAAAATTAAAATTAGATGCACCAGCTAAGATTCAAAATATGACCATTGTTAGAGACCATTCGAAGGAACTTCAGGCATTTAATTTAATTTGATTTACTCTTTGTTGCTAAAGTGTGTGGTGTCACCATATGACTTCTAAGGCCTTCAGAAAGAAGGTTATCAATAGCTATGAGAGTGGGAAGAGATTTTAAAAGACAAACAGATAGACATCATCATACAGTTATGCAGAAGACCATCTACAAGTGGAGAAGATTTCAAACCACTGCCACCCACCCCGGACCAGGCTGTTCCATACAAATTCAGCTCAATAGCAGATGCAGGATGCTAAAAGTAGTCTTTGAGAAGCCCAGAAGGGTCTATTTTTCCTTGAAAGGGAATATCATCTCTGTTCATTATTTGTTGAATAATTTTAATTTTTTACGTGACTATACATATGCACACCTCCCACGTTCTTCGATTTCTGGAACTCTCAAGGCCTCGGGTTGGGGTGCTTGTAAACCCTTTGATTATTTCTTTTTTGCATATTGGTTAGTGTTAAACATTTATACAGTTTTTATTGTGTATTTTAAATCCATATATTGGACTTATTGGATACCCCTAGACTCACTTGGGCTTGGGCAGACATGAGACCCAAATAAAAGAAGAGATTCTAATAATGCATTGAAGATTAAGTATGAAAAGTGGAGTTATGTTGAAAGATAGTGGAAAGGGAAAGAAAGATCATAAATGACTGGCAGTGAATGGGTTAGAATCTTGAACAGAGCATTCCATATTAATTCTTTTGCATACCCATTTTATAAATAATACCAATTACAATTTTACCCATTTTATAAATAATACCAATAACAATTTTTTCAAAGTCATCTTCCTTGCTTTAGCAAGGTAGTCGCTTTCACACAATTCTATTGACCCAGGTTGATGGTGAAAACATGGAATTCATATTATCTCTGTAGCATGGTGGCAATTGCTTTGGATATTTGATTATATTTATTTCTTCATTTTTTGCCTGTATAATATAGTGAGGTTTTTCTTTATGGAGTAACTATTACTAATTACTGTACTCAGCCATTAAAAGCAGGCTTCTACTGTGCTTAAATATAACCATCTACTAAATAAAAATATTATTAAATTAAGATTTATTCTTTGTATTTTTCCCCTCTCTGTTTGAATTGACTCTTGAGGTTCTCAGAGGGAAACTCATTTCTTAGCCAAGATGAGAGTGAAATGTGCTATATGTGCAGAAATATTATTTTAACAAATCTGTAGGAGCTTTTAAATTTTAGACTTCTTATTTTAGCAGCCCATGGAAATAATCTTGTGCCAAGGAGTTAACATGATTTTCAGAAAAACTGATTGAATATTCAACTTTAGAAATATTTGAATGTTATGCAAAGTTGAAAATCAGCGGAAGGCATTAAAAGTTGAAAATTAATGAAAGGATTGATTTTTATTCACATGTATACATTATTACACAAACCATCTATGAGTTTTCTAGTATTATAAACAAGACTTTCTCAGAGTGTGATATTATCCATTTATTTTTATTGTTTTTATAGACTGAATGAGCACTTAAGATAAACATTAAAGAAAAATATAATGCAAACAACAAATAACAAATAAAGATTGTTTGGGAAATAGGATCTTGCTTTAACAAATATTGCAAGGCTATATTTGTCACCTGATTTATTATTATTTTCCACACAGTTTATTACAAATGTCTTTATGCTATTTCAACCAATTGAATGTAAGTAATTTGCAAAGCAAACATGTTGCATTGCTAGAAAACATAGTACAATACAATAGCAGAGTTGGAAGGGACTTTGGAGGTCTTCTAGTCCAATCCTCTGCCTAGGCAGGAAACCCTATACCGTTTAAGCACATAATTGTGCAAATATATTCAGAATAACCTCATAAATTCAAAATAACCATGCCACCATTCATTTCAATGCATCCTCTATTTATTTGTCAATCTTCAAATGAAAAACTAGTTCTTATACTTTATAAATAAAAGTGAAAGTGCATATTTAATTTCTAAAATTAAATTAATTAAATTCTAAATTTTCCTATAAAAGAGCTCGTACAAACAGCTCTACCCTCCATTTCCCCTACTATTAATATGGAATAGGGACTTTTGCCATATGCTATCTGTTGACATACTTCTCATCTCCTTCCAATGTCACTCCAAGCTTCTGTTTTGATGTGATGCCTGGGAATTCTTCTGTAAATCAAACAGCTCTTTAGGATTTGTGCTCAAGAAAAAAAGTTTGTAAACTCTTGTTGGGGGCCTTTATTACTTCCACATTTCAGAGATCAATAAGGCTCCTGACAAGGCCTCCCTCTAGATTGGTGGAAACTCTGAAGTGATTGAATTCTGGAGAGCATGTTCCTATGTTAACAATTCAGGTAGAATGGGCGCACGGACAAGCATTTGTTACACAATGTCTGCACAACATGTGGAGAGAAAGAAAGAAAGAAACAAGATACAAAACCTTAGTGGGTGGCTATAGAAATTGATTGATTGATTGAATGAATGAATGAATATATTTAGTGCAATGGCACAGCCTGCCATACATCAAAAACATTTTGAAAACAGTAGAAAGCAGCTTTCGAGATCTGCAAGTAAGCCCAGAGGCTACCATATGAGGACCAATTATGCATGGCAAAGATTGCTTGGAGATCCTTCCAATGTAATATACAGGATCACTTCCCTGGACTATGTATGATAGATTACAGAACACAAGCAAGCAGTCAGGCAAAGAGATCTGAACTCATTGGTAGCTTCACATTGCAATTCAATTTTTTTATAGCTACCAACATTGTTGGATGAGCAGGCACAAAATCAGCCAGGGAAGTGATTGAAGCCTGCAAAATGGATCCCTTGTCAGTCAGAGTGCTGGTTTACCACCAGCTTATCAATGCTTAGGAAGTGAGGCCTTGGCAGCACAAGGAACTAATGCTTAATAGCTGACCATCAACATCCCAATCAACTACTAAAAAGCGTCACACAACCAGGCACTATTTAACATAATATTATGCAGAATAGGACACACAGAGAGTAGCCAAAGCACAGAGAGGAATTCCCTGAACATGGGCTCCAGCACAATTCCAAAAGCTTGGAAGAAGTAAATCCTTTCCCGGTGACTGACCCAGATTGGTTCCTTCAACAATGTCCTGGGATATGTATATTCACCTTCATTTGTGATATAAAACATGACTGTGAGAAAGTATTCTATACTTATTTGCCTGTAATACAGATCTATCTTATCAATTTGTAAGATATTCATATTGATAAATTGACAGTGAAAATAATGTGGAAAAATGAAAATGAAGTTGCCATGTAACTAATTCACTTTGTTTTATATTTATTGTTTTTGTGTGTGTGTAGGACTACAAAGAAGCCATCAATCTAATGCCAAACAATAAAGATAATGGTCTAATCCCTGGAAACGACAAATTTAAGCCAGTGTTACCCTGGCCTCATGTTGAAGGTGTGGAAGTAGACTTGGAATCAATTCGACGAAGGAATAAGGCCAAAAATGAGAGATTTCCTCATGCTGGTGAAAAGAATGATCAGCAAAATATTATGCAGAGACAGTATCTTACGTTTAAGCCACAGACAAATATCTACCATGACCCTGTATTGCGACCTGGAATTCTTGGTAATTTTGAACTCAAAGAACCTGAATCCCATGGAGTTGTAGGTGGTCCTGGTGAGGAAGCCAAGCCATATGTTTTAGGATCAGAATATAAAGAATCTATTCAAGCCAGCATTAAAGAATTTGGATTCAACATGGTAGCAAGTGATATGATCTCATTAGATCGGAGCATTAATGATTTACGCCTAGAAGAGTAAGTTTCAGTTCTGCTATTTTATACTTACTTATTCAAGAGTGATATAATGTCAGTAAAATTGATTCTTATATTGTGTTACTGTGATAAAGATGTAACAGTTTTTGCAAGGTATCCGCCCCACCATAGAAAAAAAATAGAGAATTAAATATTTCCTACCACTTATACTACTAATGATGATTTATTAAACTAGTACACCACCTGTCTCTTAATCAGTCTAGCAATTTCACAACCACTAAAGAAATAAATGAAAATATAAAAAATGGCAAGCACAGCTGAACAGAAGAAATGAAGTGAGGGGCTGACTCATCAAAAGTCTGGTGAAGAGTCAGCTTTTCATGACCTTTAAACAATAAAAGTGGGGATTATTTGGATCTTAAATATATATGGTGTTATGTAAACTAGATAAGTAGCACATAAATTTAATAAAACGAGAGAGAAAAATTGTACAAAATAAATAAATCTGTCTTTAGAATACTCGCATCAAACCAAAGTAGTCGCATGTAAAGGAATTCAGAAACTTGCTTCAGTGTAGACAAAATTCAAAGCTCAGGAGCATATGCAGTAATAAAATGATAAACGCATAGAAGAAAAAATGCTGTTAAACAGAACCTTTAGTTCAAAACCTGAAGTTGATTGGAAGATGTATTACTTGAAAAGACTTAAAACTCAACTATTTTCTGAATAAACTATATTTTACATTTTTATACAAAACGTCCTTTTATAAGTAAACACAGGAATATATAATGACAACATTCCATGCAAAGTCTACATAACCATCTGTTTTGAATGACTTTGAATTCCTACACTGAGCAGAGTTGGACTTGATGTCTAAATAATCTCTTACAACTTTATGATTTTACGAAGTAACAAAGTATATGTAAATAATATTTTAAAAATAAACATGACCTGTACATTAATTTTTCCCAAATTTTCAATTTTTATTGAAAAAATAAAATCTTTGCTTCAAACTCTCTGGACATTATACAGTTTTAGTTAGAATTTCAGAATTTATCTTTTATCTCATGTAATGTATTCTATGCCTTAAAACTTATAATTTGATAATCTACTTTCACCAGATTTTTCTGCAATAATTTTCTTTCTTCTGCAGCTATGTGACTAAACATTAGTAATATTCAATATTTTTGTATTGCTTTATTTTTTATTTAATAAGAAGCTAGAAATATAGGTTAGTTTTTGCAGGTATACAAAGTAGCCTATCAAAAATACATTTCCAAAATGTTATTTAAAAGTTATGTGAATCATAGTACTGCATGCATAATTGTAGTTCTAATTTCAGTAAAAAAATAATCTGTTTGTGGTTCAGTGTTTACAAAGCTAGTATTTTATTATAAAACTTATATGTTAAAATAATATTTAAATTATTGATATTTAAAATAGCAATACCCAGTTTGATCTGGTAGTTAAGGTGCTGATCTAGAAATCAGGAGATTGAGAGTCCCGCCTTAGACATGAAAGCTGGCTGGGTGATTTTGGACAGGTCACTCTCTCCCAGATCAACCCACTGTACATGATTGTTATTATGAGGAAAATTGGGGAAAAGAGTTTTAGGCAGTTACTTTAAGTGAAAAAGTGAGGATAAAATCTAATAATGTAATACACATGCTGGCTTTCAAATGATGGTAAGGAGCATTAGATGTATGTAGAGAAGTATAGCAAAGTTAGCATGTGGAAAATTATGACTATCAAGTTGCAGAGCATCCTAATATGGCATTAAATCGGAGGGTCGGCTTCAAGGGTCTTTGGGTTCTGCTAATTTGTGTTGTATAAAGATCTTTAATAGCCATCTTGTTTTGGTGTGTTTTCGATCTGAAATCCTGGCTTTCTTTCAACTTATTACCTATTAGAAACACACAAGTGTTTCTTCATATATATTATGAAACCAAAGACAGATTGTCTGACAACTTAGAGTTGTCCTCTTGTAGTGGAAGTTCCTTATGTCCATATAAAGTTTTCAGTCCGTTTACTTTTCTATTGTCAAAACAATAGAAGATCATTTCATTGTTCAGCCACCTACAATTGGAATTGGGAACTTGCTCTTGTTCCTGGCATAGAGGAAACCAATTGGTCATTTACATTAACCAGAGAATGATCAGCTACAGAATCTTGCTTAAACTTTTTTTTTATTAAAAGAACTTGTTAGAAATAAGACAAAATTACCAGCTAAATGTTTGTTTTTCATTTTTTCCGTTTAACATATTTATTTCTATATAATACTTTATTTTTGTACTGTGACAATTGAATTGTGAAGGCCTATTTTGTCCTATAGTATAAATAGTTAAAAATATTAGATGGTTCATTAGTATTCAGTAAATAAAAGTAGCCTTAGAGGATATTAATTTTCATTGAGGCAATTATGTCTTTTTCTCTCTAAGTAGATTAAATAAATAAAACAATCTTTTTTATCCTTTTATCAAATATTTAATTAATGTAAGACATTTGTCAACTTCTTAATTATGATATTGTTAGCAAGCCAAATACTTTTTTCAGTGCATTTTTTGTTATGCTTTGCAGTACTTTATATTCAAAGACAAAAATGTGCTTTTGAAGTGGGGAGTAGATAGTGTAGTGCCAGTTTGCAATTCCTTAAAGAAATTGAATTATACAGGCAAAAAATGTTCTACTGAGTATATAACAATATGCTGCTTTATTTTGTTACAAGAATGATTTTGTAAATACCTACTAAGAGTATTTTTTTTCTTTTTCTCTCTTTTTCTTAGAATACAGTATAGAAGTCTTTAAAACTTGGCCTTTTTCTGAGATTCAATTCTCACATAAACATAAATAATGAAAACTATTTCAAATTCTTCTACTGCCACAAATTCATAAATAGGCATTCAGAGATTTTTCAGAGGGCATGGATTCAATCCTGAAATAGGCCTGTGAGAAATTTTGAAATTGTGGAGACCCAAGATTGTATTGTATTAGACAAGTAAATATTTTAATTCAATAAATGCTGTCTTTCTAGTATAGAAATGTATTTATTGGTATGCAAATTAACTCCACTATTGAGGAGTTTGTCGAATACTATAGTATAGAGCTTTTATCATCTGTCAATAAAAAAACCATTTAAAAAAAAATCCCTACATTATGGTTGAATATTGTATAGGTGAAAGCATATAGAATTCTTTTTGTAGCAAGTCAGTGTGTCTGTATGTTACAAAAAACACATAAATAGAGCATGTGATGTACACAATTTTCTAGCTTAAAAATGCTTCCAAATATGCAGGTGTGGAATGAAGATAAGAATATTTGGGGGAAAAAACAAGGGTGAGATTAAATAAATAAATAAATAAATAAATAAATAAATAAATAAATAAATAAATAAATAAATAAAAATATTGAATAACCCACTCACTATCTTTCTAGTGACTAAAGTTCTGTTAAAATAGAATCTTTGTTGTAGTAATTAAAGTACTGTTAAAATAGAATATTTGTTCTCATAAAAGATTTAACACTAGGTGGCAGAATGATTCTAGGTTTAATACAAAAAACGTGCATGGAAGTATGATTATATCATAACTACAATATTAGTATTCAGCCTTAAGTGCAAAATAGTTGATAACCACCCTTGCTCATTTTCATATAATTATAAAATGACAATTGGCAGTGGCCTTATGGCTTTTTATAAAGATATTTATAGACATGGTGATGAAAAGTACAATAACATCCTTTTTGATGGTAGTTTACTTGCCACTAGATGTCACTTTTGTTCTGTGAAATAGCAGATGGCTTTTTAATATTAAACTCTAAATGCTTGAAAACTTGCTTAGACAGTAGCAGACATTTCAGTTCAATGATGCTTATGATTTATTTAAAGAAAATACTTGCCTGATATAGATGTCTTAATTCTTTTGCTTATACCTGATTTTTAAATTCTGGATACTGTGAATAATGGGGAAGAGAAAAATCAGAATATAGAATGTTAGTTAGAAGGGGCCTTGGAGCAGGAGACTTTATACCATTTTAGACAAATAGTTGTCCAACTCCAATCTATTGTTTAAAATGTCCAGGGATGGACCTCCCACAGCTTCGGGAAACAAGCCATTCCATTGATTAATTGTTCTCATTGTCAGCAAATTTCTCCTTAGTTCTAGATTGGCTCTCTCTTTGATAAGTTTCCATCTGTTACTTCTTGTCCTGCCCTCAGGTGTTTTGAAGAATAGGTCGATCCTCTCTTCTCCATGCCCCTCAAATACTGGAAGACTGCTAACATGTCACCCATAGTTCTTCTCTTTGTTAAACTAGACATACCAAGTTAACAGAATTTCCGTAAATATTTGTTTGCTTGGTATTAAAATAAAAATAGATACATTGTTAGTATAATGTAAAAAATATAGAAGAGTGAAATATTCAATCTGAATAAACTTGAACTTTCAGACTTTTGAATTTAAAATTCAAAGTCACCAGCTGAGAGGAAAAATGCAAAATTCTTTGTTTATAAAACAGTATTCATAAAGAGTATATAGACACAGCAAATTTGGGTTTCAGTAGCACATCTGCTTATGTTAAAACTACAGATTTTTTAAAATAATAACCTAGAAGTCAAGTCATTATTTGAGCATACGAATTTCATGTTAAGATGCAGAAATTAAATGAATTGGGTTTTTAGTAGCATTTCTGAATTGAATTAGAAATAGGAATATGTTAGCATGGAACTAAAACAATAATAGCTTTAGGTCAGTAAAACAAAGGCAAAGCTGAAGTAGTTTGAGGGCCTTGATCATATTTTTGGCAACTTCTGTTGGATCTTGTATTGGTTTAGAAGGTAAGTTCAGTTCTAATCAGTACTTGGTCACCAGAGAATACCAGGTCTGCAGGATATACTAGAAAGGCAATGGCAAATCATTGTATATTATTGCTATGTAGTTTCCAGTGAAAATTGACTGAAAGAAGACATGGGCAGCTTTTTGAAATTTCAGTTGATTCACAAAATGGTACTTAGGTTAACTGGTGTATAATTTTATGCTGTAAATAAAAACAGGTTTTCTCTTAATGGATAAACTGCTACAAGGGGGAAAATGGAGTTTTGACCTATTTAATATCCAAGAGACATTAATAAGAATTTCCAACTGATAAACGCTAAATTTTGCAACTGTAACCGTTTTTCTAAATTTGTATTTCTATTCAATTTATTCTTTATTGAAATTAGTTTTATTGAAATTAATATTGGTCATAGGTATTAATAAAAATCAATAACAAAATTGAAAAATCAATTGTAATGTAGGTAGTGATGAGTCAATCCGAAATGCTTGCATCTACCTCTGTTCGTCTTTTGATTGCATTGTTTAAATTATTAAAAGGAACGAACTGTTTGAATAACAAAATTGTCTATTGCAGGTGCAAATACTGGCACTACGATGAAAACCTTCTCACCTCCAGCGTTATAATTGTCTTCCATAATGAAGGGTGGTCTACACTCATGCGGACAGTTCATAGTGTAATTAAAAGAACTCCAAGAAAATATCTGGCTGAAATTGTTTTAATTGATGATTTTAGCAATAAAGGTAAATGCATTTAACATAAGTATGAAAGCAAGGTTGTATATCATTATCTAAAAAATTTGAGTATCAGAAATACTGAGCTGATATCCAGCTCTTTCTGTTCCTATTTAGAACATGAGGAATATTGGGCTCTTAATCTTCAAATGTCACAGAATGCGTGTCACTGTGTCTGTATGAATTTGTGTTCTTTGTATTGCCCATAAATATCATTTAGATGAAATAAGTTAAAATACTAGATCTTTATAAATATATCATTATTCAATTATTTTTCACTGCATTATATGTTACTACAATATGAACTTCTAAATAAGGTTTTAATTCGATAAATAATGAGATAATTAGGTATTATTTTCAATTTTGAATTGTATTGTGTGAATTAATTTAATTGAATTTGATAAGGAGCATGGTTAATGTATTAGTATTGATGGATCTATTGGATAGCCTAAATCAATAACCTTTTCAGGAACAGTTAATAAGGGTACTCTTTACTTAACAACCACAAAATTTGAGCCCAAAATTTGTTGCTAAGCGAAACAGTTGTTATTTTTCAGTTTTGCCAATTTTATGATCTGTCACAGTTATGTGAATCACTGCAGTTCCTAAGTTAATATCACAATTGTTTAGTGAACTTATTCCCCATTGACTTTGTCACATGGTCGCAAAGGTGATCACATGATCTTGGCAAACTAACCATCATAAATATGAACCAGTTGCCAAGTATGCAAATTCTGATCACGTGACAATGAGGATGCTGTAATGGTCATAAGTAACTTTTTTCAGTGCTGTTGTAACTTCAAACAGTCACTAAATTAGATTTTTTTAAAGATATAGTATGAAGAATTTGGGAAAATTATAGCAGTCAAACCATGTAGATGACTAAAGTAAATAAGGCTGTAGCAATTTAAATAATACACATATTTCAATCATTGCATTTTCTTGCTGAAATAGTGCTTATTGCATTTGGGAGGATATGCTTATCTCCTCCAAAATCCCAATTCATAATTCCTTGCTACATTGAACAGTTAGAGACTACACAGAATTGTGAATGATCATTTTAATATAGTATTTTAAACATAGTATTCCACTAAAAAAATGGTAATCAATGTAAATATTTTCTTGTATTTTTAATTATTATAAAAGACGGTTAAGAGAAAAAGTAAGTACACCTCATGTAAAGATTTGTTTTTCTTGTTTAACATATTTATTTAGCAAGTTTATATTGCTGCCCATCTCATAAAAAGTGACTCTGGGGACTTAAAAGCAAAATACCAAGCCATATCACAATGTGATATGAACAGATAAAAAGAACACAAAGGAATAAAACATAAAAGAATCCCAGGATTGCTGGTGGGCAATCATAATTTAGCCTTATTCAAGTACATTGCAGGCTCATCAGGGGATCCTCAGGGGTTGATGGAACAATCAGGTTTTCAAGGCTTTCTGGAAGGTGAACCTCATCACAGGAAAAATGATATGTTCTATAGCTGAAACAGTGATCCTGAGTCCCACCAGATGGACCTTGAGTGGTAGACAGTCATAATAGCAATAGCAGCAATAGCAGTAGACTTATATACCGCTTCATAGGCCTTTCAGGCCTCTCTAAGCGGTTTACAGAGAGTCAGCATATTGCCCCCAACAATCTGGGTCCTCATTTTACCCACCTCGGAAGGATGGAAGGCTGAGTCAACCCTGAGCCGGTGAGATTTGAACCGCTGAACTGCTGATCTAGCAGTAGCCTGCAGTGCTGCATTTAACCACTGCGCCACCTTGGCTCGAGGTAGTTTCTGGGGAGCGCGGATACCAAGTATTAGAACAGTGATGGGCAACCTTTTTGGCATGGTGTGTCAAAAATCGGCAAAAAATCGAGCATAACTCGCGTTGTGTGTCACTTCAACAAAAACATAATTTTGCGCAATTTATAGTTTAAACTACAAAAATGTATAATTGCAATATATAATTGTATTTAATAAACCAAAAACAAATTATTTAACATACCTGCTTAGTAACTTCTTTGTTCATCAGTCGATTTCGTATGTTGCCCTTGATATTATTGAACTTGTTTGGGGTGCCGTGAACCAGGGCTGTGGAGTCGGCTGCTTCCAGCTCCACATCCTCATCAACATGCCGCTCCAGCCCGCCCCTGCTATGAATATTCCTAGTGACGCGAGGGCGAAGAATATGAATATTCATAGTGGGGACGGGCCGGAGCGGCATGTTGATGAGGACGTGGAGCTGGAAGCAGCAGACTCCACAGCCCTGCCGTGAACTGAGATAAGTGTGGTGCGGTCGTAACCGACAGTCCCAGGAGTAGACTCTCTGTGCCGGCCTGACTGGAGAGAGGCGCGCACTGTTCCCGCGCTCCTCTCCTGCGGGTCCTCCCTCGCCGCGCTGATGACGTGTGTGCGCACGGCACACATGCCTTAGCAGCAGCCCCTGCGCTCAGAAAGGGGCGGCGGCGATACAGTAAGTGAGTGTGGGCGGGGGAGATCACACAGATTCTTTCATCCTCGGCAGCCGTGCAGGAGCCGAGAATGAATCGCATGAAATCTTGTGCGTGTCACCCCAAATGGCTACGCGTGTCAGCACTGACACGCGTGTCATAGGTTCGCCATCACTGTATTAGAACCAAGGATATACTTACTTTTCCATAGAAGTAGCTTTTCTGTTTATTATTTTGAGTAGATGATTACAAAGTCAGTTTTCATAGTATCTTTACTCAATTGCATCACTTTATCTTTGAATTTAAAAATAACCTTCTGACAGATGGTCTGACATTACCTTCATAAATCCTCTGGTACAATGAAAAATTTATAATTGATTCTGTGATGTAATTGCCCGGTTCATGATGCAGCAAAGCAGCTCTAAAACATAACATTGCCACCACCATGCTTTATAGTTGTATTAAATTCTTCTAGCGGAATGCTGTCTTTGTTTTTCATCAATTGATGCCAGTTGTTTGGTGATCTTTTAAAAACCCCTTCTTAGACTCATAGGCATCTACAATCTTTCTGAAGTTATTGGAGAGCTCATTTGAGCAGGGTATGATGACACCACAACTTCAACAACAAAGAACAAATGAAACTAAATGTCTGAGGTTTTAGGTTCCTTCAGATCCTTTCTAATACTGTTCTAATCATTTACACTTCATCTGATGCACTTGATTATAATTTTAGGCATTTGAGGTAGTGATAAATACATTTACTTTGTAAAGTGTACTTTTTCCTCATGCAAGGTGTACTTACTTTTTCCAATTGCAAATATTTAAATGACACATAGACATTATATAAATAATGCATTACATTTGTTATATTCCTTTATTAATATAATTGAAATAAGGATCAAATATCTATATCTTGAAATATGTTTAAAAAATGTTACACAGTTTTTTACATGTATATGTATTGAAGGTATTTTAAGGATCCTAGAATCTTTTGTTTTCAGGGTCAGATGTATTAATAAATTACAGGTACCAATATATCCTCTCATCACATCTTGATTGCTAATAAATGAAGTATTTTATTTTGTGAGTTAAAGTATTGATGATTTTAGAGGGGTGATGTATGTCAGAGAGCAGCAATAGTATTTTATCATTCTTCTGATGTCAGTTGAGTATTTTACACTGGTAAGAAGCCTAATTTTTAAAATGAAATCTAAAATCATTGTTTTAAAATGGCATATATACATTTGTGACATGTCTATAAAATTGGTTAGTATTTCTTTTGCTTTTCTGTTGGTAAAAGAGTTTAAAATGTAAGGATATAATATATGCCCATAATATATCAAAGGTTAATTTTTCAATGTTACATTTTCAATGTTGCCTTTCTGTTTTGTTCTATACTTGTGAAATAATCAAGAAGTAATTCTTAAGTGAGCTTGCAGCTATACCAAATTTACATAATAAATTTGACATACCTAACTTTTGGAGAATAATCAAGAAGCAATTCTTAAATAAGTGTGCATTTATCAATAAATATACCTAAATTACACATTGAATCTGGCATCCTTGATTTTTGGGGTATGTAGATATGTAGTCAAATATATGTTTGTTTTTAATATAGATGTAATTTGTATTGTTAGCTCAACCTTAAATATTTATAACGTACATGGAAACCTCTTTTTATTATTTGATAGAACACTTAAAAGAAAGACTAGAGGATTATATTAAGCAGTGGAATGGCCTTGTAAAGATTTTTCGAAATGAAAGGAGAGAAGGTTTAATTCAAGCTAGAAGCATTGGAGCCCAGAAGGCTAAACTTGGAAAGGTAGATTACTGTTCACTAAATAAAATCCTTCTTTCCATATAGTCTCAATTTTGCTTTTAACAGATATTAATCCACTTTATTATTGCAATCACAGTTCTTAATTGCAAAATTACATTTTAAAAAATAAACTCAACATGCATTTTTATAAGAAAATATAAACTAAATTGAAATCTCCTTTCCTCTTTGTTTTTTAAAGGTTTTAATTTACCTTGATGCCCACTGTGAGGTGGCAGTAAACTGGTATGTGCCACTAATAGCTCCTATATCTAAAGACAGGTAATAATTTGCTTATTTCTATCCCTCAGGAATCCTTTAAATATTGTAATTTTGTAGTATCCCAGTCAGATAATCATTTTTTTAAAATGGGTAATTTTCTAATACATTTTTTCAGCTGCCCAAATAGAAGTTTGCAGGTTGGCTGATAAAACTATGCTTTCTCTAGAAGACTAATTTAGGAAAAATACTTAACAAATTTTATCTAAAATACACTTAGAACTGTAAATAGTTTAAAGTTCTGTTATTACCTAAAGACATCAATTGCATAATTGATTTCACTTGTAATGCAAACAGTTGAAAAGTTACTATCCATATTTACATAAACGAAGGCTACATTGAAATAAAGAATAAAAATCTAAGTAGTCCTCAATGTGCAAAGCAGAATTGCATATGAATTGTCAGAAATAAAAGATATTATTTAAATTGTTCCCTTTCCTTCCTTTTAAATAATTAGATTGGGTAATTATAGCAAACCGTTAGTTTTTGTTTCACAGTGTTTAGAATTCATAAATGTATCTGTTAAAATAGTATATTTGCTAGCTTTAAATCGGGCCCATTTTTTTAAAAAAATGCATGACATGTTTAAAAATGTATGTTAAAATATTATATTTGCAAGATTTATATTTATTTATTTTTATTGATGACATGTTTAAGAAACTGGCAAAATCACTTGACAGTCCTTCTGCCTTATGAAACCAACAAGACAAATGCATTTAACAGCACAATACCACATTATTCATCATTCCCTTTGACAATTAATTTTCAAGAATCTATGCAGAAAAAGATAAATGTATTCTCAGCATTAATTTGAATTAATTCTGTTAATTCATAATCCCTATTCCTCAGTTTTGTTTTCTAGGAAAAGTAAGTGTATGTCTGTGTACTGTATTTGTTCAAATTATTTGGGTAAGGCATTAAAGATAGTGGGTAATCTATTAGATTAGACAGCTTAATCTTGTCTCTTCCCCTTCCATAAATATTTCAGAACTACATGCACTGTGCCTCTAATAGATTACATAGATGGGAATGACTATTCCGTTGAACCACAGCAAGGCGGGGATGAAGATGGCTTTGCCAGAGGGGCCTGGGACTGGAGCTTGCTATGGAAACGTATTCCATTAAGCCACAAGGAAAAGGCAAAAAGAAAATATAAAACCGAGCCATATCGGTAAACAATATTGTTTTGTTCTATTGATCTTTGTGAATTCATGCTTACCTAAATTCTTTCATTTCTCCCCCTTTCTTTTCCATGAACCATGGTTCGTTTAAATGTGCCATATGCCTTCCTTCATCCTCACCATCATCATCCAAAATCCTGCAGAACCACATGTACTGTGCCGCTTATAGATGTCATAGATGGCAACACTTATAATATTGTACCCCAAGGGGGTGGTGACGAAGATGGGTTTGCTAGAGGAGCATGGGATTGGAGCATGCTCTGGAAGAGGGTTCCCCTGACCAAACGTGAGAAGGCAGTGAGAAAGACAAAAACTGAGCCGTATCGGTAATCACTAAATGGCTTAAATGTTTTTCTTTTTCTTAAGGATGTACTGACCTATTAAATACTTGCATGATCTTCCATTCTTAAAAATAATGCTTTAAAATAAGCCCTTTCTTTTTTCACTAACCTGTGATCAAGCATTTCTAATATAACTAAATTAACCTTTGCAACTTGTCTATAGTATGTTTATCTACTAAATTTTCTAAGCAACATATAATACATTATTGCTGCTTTAGGAATTGCTTAGAATGGATATTGCAATTTTCACATCCTTCAGGTTATTAATGTTTCCTAATTCAGTGCATGGTTATTATTCTTATTGATTAGAAAAGTAATAAAACACTTCAGGCATCAAAATGGGAAATAGCAAAGCATGTTGGCATCAGTGTAAGCTTGCTGCCCTTCTGACATCTTGGGCCTGTTTCCAGTGCATTGAATTGCCTTATATATTATTTTATTTTGCGTTGTATATTTTAACATATTTGAATGACACTGAGATTAGTTTCAATTATTAGCAGTTGTGTGATAAAATATTCTGTTATGCTATGCTGAAAGGGAAATCATAGCAGAAAATTGTAAATGCTTGCAGCTATTGCTCAGTTTTTCCATTCAGTGCTGGGTCTACCCCAAAAGAAAGTAGAGAATACATCCAGGGCCAAGAGTTTTGACAAAGTTACTTCTGCAAAACAGGTGTTTGGCATGAGAACACCGTGGCCAGAGCTCTCTCAAGCTTGGTGTCAGGAGAAGAGTTGACCAGATTAATTGAAGTATTATTAACACTGATGACAACAAATACAAGCAAATACATTTGCTGTAAATATTTTGATTTTGTTGATTTTCACAATTCTCTTTAATTTGTTTTCACCAATAAAATGGATGTCCAAGAAGAAAATATACCTACCTGGAAAGGAATAAGATTATTCTAATTTCCCTTTTCCCTCTCCCCATATTAATAGACCTATGGTTCTGCTTTGATTCAATTATTCTTCACTAACAATGCAAACTGGCTTATTTTCTTTTCAAATGTTCTTTCCCTTTAGCTGAAGAAATCTGTTTTTTAATCATTTCCTGCAGTTTTTAAAAATTGATGCATTGTTTTTATTTTACTTTGTGATTTATTGATATATTTCATTGAAATTATGAAGCATTGATAAATTAATTAAACATTTTTGCTTTCTAGCAAAAAAATATTTTGACCCATTGTCAAATCCAGTCAACAAGGGTTTTTCAATAGTTTATAGCAGAAACTTCAATAGCATTCCAGTCACTTGACCCACTAAGAACTTTTTTTTAACCTTTACATGTTTTAATCTATTCTGAATTGATACAACTATTGGCACATGGTGATTAATGCCTCCTTATGTAACAAATAAAACAAGCTGTAATTTTTTTCCCTTTTAAGCTTGGAAAAGTAACTGTTTCATTTTAGCATTTTTCCTTTGTATTATTGTTTAAAATTCTTTGAAAGAAAGAATTAAACATTTAATCTATTTCAGTATTCCTAAATTCTAATTATCTTATTGTGACTTCAGAATCAATGCTTTATAATTTCTGCATATCTAAATTATTCCCCGTTTCTTTAATAAAATAACAATTTATGTCATGCTACACAGAGACACATATTTTTTTATCTTCTAGATCGCCTGCCATGGCTGGTGGATTATTTGCCATTGAACGTGATTTCTTTTTTGAGTTAGGCCTCTATGATCCGGGTCTACAAATCTGGGGTGGGGAAAACTTTGAAATATCCTACAAGGTAAACCAGTCATTCCAGAGAGTCTATTACCATTTTTCAAGTCATTGTGTGATCACTTTTCGTGACCTTCATTGATTAAGGGCCTAAATGACTTCTTCATTCTTATAACCTTATAAGAATAGCCGCCCGGAGTCCTTCGGGATTGCGCGGCCTATAAATCTATTAAATACAATACAAATACAATAATCTGCTTCTAGTGAAGGTTATATAGACAGGTACATAGTACTCTTTCAGTTATGTAATCCTTCATTGTGGATAATCTTAAATTAGTTTGTTTTGTTTTATTCTTTAAGGCCAGTGCTTTGTTTCTTGGGAGGTTTTTTAAAGCCAAATATAGCTGTTTTTCTGTAGGACTTTTAAAAATAGCACATTTAGTTATCTTGAATTTGTTCCTTATTTGCCTAATATTTTGGGAGTTTGGCTTAAAAAGAAATTTGCATAGGTGAAGTTGGAGAACTCTTATCTATATAAGATTTAAAATATGGCACTTTTTTAAATAACCACTTCGTAATTTTGAAGTTTGAACAAGGTCAGGTTGAATAATACTGTACATTATAAGTTGAACCACTTCTGTGGCCCTGAAAATTGTACCTATATCTTTACAAAGTGAATTAATGTAAATTGTTGGCTAGATAGAAAATTGTCAGTTTCACCACACATGTCATTGGATAATCTTTTTGATGAAATGATATCAAAATACATAAAAACAGAAGTCCGTTTATGAACTAGAGCAATATTTCTGAGTAAGCCTACACAGATACAAAAATATTTAAAATGTAAAATTATCTAGCCTGTTAAACTATTCAGATGATATCAAGATTTTGGTAATAAAAACAGTATTGATATAATATCATCCAAGTGTCTAGGCACATCTGGGTTTATTTCAGTTCAATCTTGCTAATAAAGTCAAAAATTGTATTTCTTTAGTGTGCTAAAATTTAATATATCAACTTGGAATCTAATGAACATTTTGCTATGGTCTGAAAAAAATAATATGGTTCAGACTTACGTTGCATTTTTTGGTTTTAATGTAAGACTACAAAATGAAACGAGTTTCTAAAATAACTTGCAGACATGACTTCATAATTTGGAATAAATCCAGTTCTTATAATCTTGACTATTTTATTCATATTGAACATTACTTATGGTTTTTTTTCTTCCACATAAAGTGTAACTGCTCATTAGATTTAATTAGGGAAGACATATTACTTTGGTTATTTTGGTACTAATGCTAAGAGTGCAGTTCAATTTAAAGCTTTCAATATAGTGTTGATTTGGTAAAATCTCCTTGTATATTCAGATTTGGCAGTGTGGAGGAAAGCTACTATTTGTGCCTTGTTCTCGTGTTGGGCACATATATCGTCTCCAGGGATGGCAAGGGAATCCACCTCCAGCTTATGTTGGGTCATCTCCTACTTTAAAGGTAATGCTTATGTCACTAAAATGTTAATAATATAAACCTACTATATCATTTCGTGTTAATAATTAAATTAAATTAAAGCTGTATAAGTTCACAACAGATTTATTTACTAATTTAACATATGGCATACAATGTCAGGGAAATCTACGCATGGTAGACACGCAATGTAGTCCGCAAATTCTAAACTCTTCCATTCCATTGGCTCTTGCCAATGGAATGGAGTTTAAAATATCCAATATCCTTGGTGCACTGTAGCGAGTTTTTACACCAGGTAGCTAGCAGTACCCGGGTTGATAGCTCTTCCAGGCTCCTCCACTGGTCTTGCCTTACTTCATCTCCAGTCACAATGCTTCACGTCTGGCCAGGTCCAGCACTGACTTTTACTCTCTGCATACACTTCCACTCTCTGCTAGGTTTTTCCCCACCAAAGTGGTACCCATTTATCTACTTGCATGCTTTAGAATTGCTGGGTGGGCAGGAGTTAGGGATAAGTGACGTGAGCTCATTCCATCTCACAGAGCCAGGTCAAACTGGCAGAGTGGAGACCACGCACTGCATCCCCTCCATACCAGAAATGAATAGGAATGCAGAAATTCAGATATATTGCTAAACAGATCTAGATTGAACAGACAACCTCTGACTTTATTGGAGTAAAATAAAATAAAACCTAATTTGAATCCTACAATTGGACAATTTTGCACATCCTTATAATTGTTTTCTAATTATCTATCCCTATTTAGTTAATATATAAGCATTCAGTGATCCCAGGCAATTTTTTTGCATTCTCTGGAAATCCCATCTAAATTGTATTGCTGACACTTGACCGTCTTTAAACTGTAAAACTTCTCCATCCTAGTTTTATTAAATAAAAATACATAAAAAGTTTTCTATATAATTGCTTAGTACTCATTCTGTAAATTGATAGTAGACAATATTCTTCAGTCCCAACTTTCACATTGTTGCAGGAAATGTGACAGAGATTAAACCTTCCTTATACCATTCTTAAGTTCATAGAGTGAAGTACTTAAATCGATTTTGATTAACTAAAGATGCAAATTGACATCATTGTGTGAAATATTCCCTTCATTCATAATATATTTTCTTGAATAAGTGATTGGAATAAAATTAGTCAAGTAAGATAAAGATAGTCCTTGATGTACGACCACAATTTAGCCCAAAATTTGTGTTGCTAAGTGAGACATTTGTTAAGTAAATAACTTTTCTTGCCACCGTTGTTAAGTGAATTACTGAAGGTGTTAAGTTAGTAACAGGGTTAAGAGGATCTAGCTCCCCTATTGACTTTACTTGTCAGAAGGTCACAAAAGTTGATCACATGACCCTGGGACACTGCAAACACCAGTATGTCTGAATTTTAATCACTTGACCTTGGGGATCTGCAATGTTCATAAGTTTAAAAAAATGGCCATGTCATTTTTATCAGTGCTGTTATAATTTTGAATGAACAAGTCATTAAATGAACTGTTGAAAGTTAAGGACTATCTGTAGTTGCGTTACCTTTTTCATATGTATGCATTAATTTTGTGTTTTACAGAACTATGTCCGTGTTGTCGAGGTCTGGTGGGATGAATTCAAAGATTATTTCTATGCTAGTCGTCCTGAAACAAAAGCACTAGCTTATGGTGATATATCAGACCTGAAAAAATTTCGTGAAGATCACAGATGCAAAAGCTTTAAATGGTTTATGGAAGAAATAGCCTATGACATAACTTCTCATTATCCTCTGCCACCTAGAAATGTGGAGTGGGGAGAGGTAACTTCTCTTTCATCTAAATCAGTATTTTAATACTCTCCTCAGCTAATACTAGCCTTGTCTATCTAAGAATGCATGTTAGATGAGGAAGTAAAAGGAATCTTGTAAGAAATAGGTGTCTTCTTATATGTAGAAAAGGAATTACAGTATTTAAACAGTTGGAACCATATTAGATCACATAGTAAATCATATTAAATTAAATTCAGATTTTCTGAACAAAACCATCTTGTCAGAAAACAGTGCTTTTTTCATGTAGGAGTTGCTAACCGACTAGAGATACACATACCATTATTGTTGCCTGAGCTGAAACTGAACATTTAGATTTTTTTTTGTAAACCATTGCAAAAAGTAGCAGATATTGATATATTAACGTGAGATTTTAGGCATTATGGTATGGAAGAGAATCAAAATGTATTAGTTGTATGAACAGAAAATTGTTTCCTAGGGTTAGGCACTATAAAAATGAAAACACATTTTTAAACTAATTGTTATGGATAGAATGGCCCTTGTACTTTTTCCAGAGGAGAGTTTTGTAATCAGTATTTTGTAATAAATAAGCCAATGGGAGTTAAAATAAGTATTGTCTTTATGAAATTGAATTTAGATGGCAAAGAGAAGGGTTAGTAAAGAAGTGGTTTATTCCTTATGATGCTCATTTATGAGATAGATAAAGATTGAGACAAACAGCCAAATACTGTTTCTTAAGAAAATAGGAAAAAAACAAGACAAATCTGGAAGATTTTAAAATAAAGCTTGCAGTTATTGCCAAGACCATTTTGCCATTCATTGATTCAAATAATTGGCCACTGACATCTGCCAGGTATAGAGAATTAAATAAAAGCAATAGTTACTGAGAATGATTCAGAGGAATTAAATTTTTGCTTTACTTAAATAGTATAATATCACACATCATTAACATCTTGCCTACCGATTACTTGTTTGAAATAAACTCCCTGTTCTTTGCCTATAACAAGAATAATTCTTATTCTCATGCAGCAGATATTTTCAGTGTATTTCATTAGACTTCATTGATTATTGTGGTTGCTGCTGTGAGATAATATTTAATATATATAATACAGTTTGTGGCTATGGTAGAGAATATTAGGACAGATACATTTATGCATGTCATTTTGGGGGAAACCATGCTTTAGACAGTCAGTGAAATTTATAAAGGGAGAGTTCTCTGTGCTAATAATTGAGAATTGAAAACAAGATTAGGTGTATGCACAAATTCTCTTGTTTTTCAATTTAGTGCTCCATAATCCAGGCTAAGGAACTTGTGGCCTCTAAATGTTGGTGAACTACAGTTCAGCAGCTTCTACTATGCCCCTCCCCCCCCCCAAAAAAAGTTGTGGCTATAGTTCACCAATACCCGGAGATCCTTATCTCATATCTGAAGCTCCTTTGAGAGTGAACATAACATGCATTAATTATAAGGAGAGTTATAGGGTTTACTTTGAATCTTTTGTTATTTGATATACTATTTACCTTTATACATACATGGGTTATATTACGCTATTTTGTTGTAGTTTACAAATAATAGTTTTCCATATAATTTCTATTTATTATTAATTTGCTATATTATAACAGTAGTGCAAATCATAAATGTGTTTCAGATTAGAGGTTTTGAAACAGCATACTGCATAGATAGTATGGGTCATACCAATGGAGGCTTTGTGGAACTTGGTCCATGCCATAGAATGGGAGGAAATCAAGTAAGTAGAGTCAGATAATAGTTTCAGTTGTGAGCCAAAATATTAAATAAATTGCTTATGATTTTTAAATTGGAAGCTGCTCTCCTTCCCAATCCAAGAAACATTTTTGTGATATAAACACCATATAACAAATTTTCTTATTTTGTGTGTGTGTGTGTGTGTGTGTGTGTGTATCATAAGTTATTATTGTCCCATATTCCTTGACCCAATAAATACTATGTATACTTAGTCTCTTTTATTGAATTATTTGAAATTGTTTCTTTAAAAAAAAATGCTTTCAATGTAATGTATACAGAGAAACTGTCTATATGTAAAGAGATTTGGGTTGTAATTCTGCTTCAGTTTATATGATTTTGAAAAATAAACTAAAGCAGCCAAAGTGCACAGATTTTAAGTTACTACCTTAACTTTCATGCCATGTAAACAGGAATAATATTCTCTATATTTAAGACTTAGCAAGGGATATGGTGGCTCTGGCTAAGACGCTGAGCTTGTCGATCAGAAAGGTCGGGAGTTTGGCGGTTCAAATCCGTAGCACCGGGTAATGGAGTGAGTTCCCGTTTCTTGGCCCAGCTTCTGCCAACCTAGCAGTTCAAAAGCATGTACAAATGCAAGTAGAAAAATAGGAACCACCTTGGGTGGGAAGGTAACAGTGCTCCATGTGCCTTAGGCATTTAGTCATGCCTGCCACATCACTATGGAGACATCTTCGGACAGCACTGGTTCTTTGGCTTTGAAACAGAGATGAAAACCGCCCCTTAGAGTTGGGAACGACTAGCACATATGTGTGAGGGAAACCTTTACCTTTAAGACTTAGCAGTTTAGTTTCTGTGTAAAGTTCACTTATTTTAGTCTTTCAAATAAACTTTTGTTCTAAAATTTTCTGAATTCAGAAGTTGAAATACAGAAGTCCCAGAACCTTCCTCAGGAAATTGCTTATTTGAAATTAATTGTTATTAATTTCTTAACTAGAAATAGATAGATACACTTTCAAATCTATTCTCAAATGGTAATATTTAGCATATAGCTTTTTAATTTTTTTGTCATAATTATTTATTTTTGCCAATACATATTTAAGTATGCCTCTTTGGTTATATTTATAGGCTGATTTCAGTCTTACTTGTATGCATCAATACGTTTTATATGTTAACATTTTTCAGTTTTTAGAACAAAATATGCATTGTTTTTAATATTCATTTTTAGCTCTTCAGAATTAATGAAGCTAACCAACTCATGCAGTATGACCAGTGCTTGATTAAAGGACCTGATGGATCTAAAGTTATGATTACACATTGCAATTTAAATG